ATTTTTGAGCCACCTTTGGCAAAGTAGAAAGGAACGATTGGCCATCGGTGATCGGTCCTGTGGGAACAATGCTCCGTCCTCTCGAGGACGCGTGGTCAATGGTCTAACCGCTAAGACATGCAAAACATAAGAGTACGCCCCCCCCCCTCCCCCCGAGCGTTGTAGGGATGCGAGGTCAATGGTCTAGCGACTACGGCATGCGTTTACATTAGTATACTCTCCACCGCCCCTCCCCAGATCACCCGCTAAGACAACTTCTTCTCCACCCGGCTCTCCCCAGGCACAGGACGTCATTCGCGCCCGCCGCACGGCAGAAGACCACTCTGTTCCTCGCGACGAAGTCGCTTGCGAGAAACGGGGCCCAATCGAGCAGCAGCAGCAAGAGAGGTGGAGGGGGGCGAGGGAGGAGAGGGGGGAGACGCGGAAGAAACTCTCGGAATGGGGCAAGGGCTGGCGTCAACAGCATCAACTTCAGCGTCTGCCCGGGAGCGGACGAACAGCAGTGTATTGTCGGCAGGGAAAGGGGGGCGCAGTTCCGAGGAGAAGGCGCAAGGTGTGGAGAAAGAACGGAAAGATATTTGGCTCTTGTGAATGGTGCGCGCCATCGCTTGAGCGAAGGTCTTTTTTTGGTACGCGAGGCTCGCCGCCTACGCCCTCTACAGCGCAACCCTACATCGTCCACGTAGGATTCAGCTTCGGGTTCTCAACACTTTAGCACCTGTTGTTGTGGTCGAGTTCTGAAGCTTTGGGAATCAGGGGTTTCGTTGCACGACGCGGCCACTTCTACTCGCAAGCCGATTCAGAGATCGTGCGACGCTGTGTCGTGTGCGAGGAGCAGACAGTGCAGTCGGTTTACGGTCTGGAACGACTCCACACTTTCTTTGAAGGCTGGACGCTGGGCCATCCACCCTGGTGGTAAAGCGGTTGGTTGTGGAACATCTGGTCGCGCGCTCGTCTAGCACCCTCGGTTGTCACTTCGCTGCACAGACGCGCTATACCGCTTTTTATCGGGGTACAAAGTTGCGAGAAAAGTTGAGGCTCTGGACAGCTTTTGGTCGGGATCTCTTGTCAAAAGCACTTTCGTTGCACGCTCGATAGGGGCGAAGGAAATTTTTTTCACGGGACTGGTGGAATGCGGAAGTGTAATCGATTGTTGTTGTTTGGGCAACGGCGAGAAGCAGGCACACCCCTCCATACCACACAGCGAAATCGGCCGGAGCGTGCCACGAAGGTTGGAAAACGAATTGGTGGCACAAAACCTGGCGTCATGCCTTCTAATCGAAGCCAGGAAGACCTCAATCATGCACACATACACACGTCCTCCAACACACATCGTTGACGCAGACTCTGCGTAGTGGCGGGCACGCACTGAATTTCCAAGTCATGGTTAGCTCTTTGATTAGTGCCGGTCCGGTAGTGTGTCGGTGAGTTTCTGGGCACATAATACCGGCACAAAACAGGGACCCCCACTGTAGCGTTTTTTCATTTTTTGGTGCTCGTCCCTTCCATTGCAGGGCGCCAGCCTCGGTGCACATGTATACTAAAATATACAGCATCGAAATTCTCTGCTCTTTTATATCAGCGGAACCGCGTCCACGTAAAGGTGCTTCTGTGCAACTCCCTGTTCGAGTCCTGTTTTTTTTTTCTTGACGAAATCCCGTGTTCCTCCCACGACAAACCAGTAGGTGTCGCCCTTCAAACGGCCACGTGTTGTTGTCCCTTGTCCTCTTGGGTGTTCAAAGCGAAAAAGAAGGAGGCGAAGGCGGCGAAGGCGGCGGCAGCGGTGGTAGCGGCGCTAGGGTCGCCGGCGAAGGCCGTCGCGACTGTTACCACCGCAGGCGGTAACGGCGGTAACAAGGGCAGTGCCAAGAAGAAGAGGTTGATGGCTCAGATGGTGAAGGCCGCGGGGCAGCGGCAGCACTGGAAGGAGGCCATCGTTTTGTTCGATCAAATGCAGGAAAAGGTGCGTCCGACGTCCAGGAAGAGACAGGATAGGATGCACGTGACGAACGTTTGTGCGCAAGGAACCGAGAGAGGTGCAGGCGTGGCAAAGCTTGTCTTGTTGGAGCCAAGAGGGGCCAGAAAGGGTATATATGCTCGGGGTGGCGGGATCATGTCTTGGTCCACGGTGCCCCTCACTCTCCGCATCGGTTTTGCGATGCCTCTCGTGGCGGTAACACCCGTTCTGTCCCTCTTCACGCACCAGCACCCAAAACAACAAACCCCATCCGAAACCAGCCCTACAAACCTCTCATAATTACCCCCAACCTGCCCGACCTATCGCACCCCTAGGGTGTCCCCACGGTGAAGGCGGCGTACGGGGCTGCTCTACGTGCGTGCGCCAAGGGAGCGGATTGGGAGCGCGGGACTCAGCTGCTGGATAACTACCTCGAGGTGCAATAGTTTTGTGTTTGGACGGTGGGTCTCGACAACTTTTTGGGGGCATCCAAAAAGAGCGGCCTTTGTTCCGATGTGTAGCGTTTCTGAAACGGTTTGTGTCGCGCCGACGTGTTGCCGTTGATCGGTATGCGTACCCGCCCCCAGCTCTCTCTCTCGTACGAGAACGTCCAGAGCTCCCTTGTTATCAGTGAGTTTTTTAGGGTCGGATACTTAGTGTCGGAAGTTTCGCCGCGTGGTCATGTATGAAGTGAGTACCCCCCCCCACCCCCCTCACCGCGCTTCCTGGCCTCCGCACATACAAGCATCACGTCCCTTGTATGTCTCGTGGCTTGGGGGCTTGGGTTGTTGCAGTTGGGAGATAAACGACCCGCCCCCCCCAAACCCATACCCACACCCATTCCCCACTCCCCGCTTGTCCCGGCATGACTTTACGGCGTCCCTCCGGTTATGTTACAGGAGGGGTACGAGCTAGAAGAGAGTGTGGTAAACAACGCAGTCAAGGCTTGCTGTCGGGCAGGGAGACCTAGCGAGGCGGAAGCAATTTTGGCAAAGAGCCTCGAGCGGGGAGTCGTTCCCGAGGTATGTGGTAAGCTTGACGGTGACGGCGGCGGCATGAAAATTACACCGCCTTGTAGGGTTCAACAACGCACTCAAGTAGTGGTATGTTGGATGATAAATTGGTGGTGCAAGCGTCGCTGGGTTTTGCCAGTGGGCAACGTTTTTGCGTAGAGTATTCTTCCACGTAGAAAACCCTTTCATAAGGACAAGAATAACCGGTAGCCCACCGGAGAAGAATTGGTGTTAACAGAGGTTTCGATGGAGGACGAGGCGTGTGAGAGGTGGGGCCGCCGGCCGGACGACCCCTTTTCCGACGCAAGTTTGTTCAGAAAGACAACAGACCAATCTATTTTCATACGTGGGATTTCAGGAGACAAGACGCGACTTGCATCATCGCGCATCCGAAGGTTTCGGTCATGACACAGACGTCAGGTGGTTGGATTTGGTTGGGTCGAGTTGGCGCCTGCCCACCACCACCAACCAACGGCAACACCAACAATGACCATCTCAACAGCAGGAGCAAAGTTGTTCTGACGTTCGACGACAACGGTTACGGCAGGTGTCCCTCTTCACGGCGGTGATGAACGCGTGCTACACGGTTGGCGACATGGACGCCATCCTGGCTATCGGAGACCAGCTGCGGGCACAGAGCCTCACGCCGGACCACACCGGTTATCACCTCATCGTGACTTCCCACATAAGCAAGCTCGTAAGAGGTTGGCCTGGAAATTGTCGGGCTGGTGTTGTGTCTTCTCGTGGGTATTGGACCTGAATATTGTCAAAATGCGGCTGTGTCTGGCCGTGAGTGATCGGACTGAGGTGTCGGACTGCTGCTGTGTTTGCTCAATCGGAGTGAAGTTTCGGTACAGCTTGACTTTTTTTTATGGCCACTCTCGGCGGGGCGCACGCGGACTCCAACACCGTAGCGTGCATTTTTGTTATTGCCACGATGGATTGTTGTGTGTTCGGCTGTCGTACCATATGTAAATCGATTTCACAAACTCTTTGGTTGCTGAAAATCACTCCGTTTTTTTTGTTGTCAATGTCATGCCTCCCCCAATACAGGACTTGTGATGCTTTTTGTTCCTAAACTCGTCTGCATTCTTTTATGTTGCTGATTACTTCACATCAAGTTTATGTGAAACACAACAAATAAACTCGTTCACAGATAAAATACGAGCCAATTTTGTCCACTTCGTTACTTGATGCCCTTGGTGTCCCTCCTTCTGCCCCTTATTGCAGGACTGGGTGAGCGCCACCGAAGCGCTGGTGGAGATGGGGGAGGCAGGGCTGGCCCCGACCGCGGGCTCCGCTCGAAAGTGGAGGCTTGCCAACGCGGTGATAGAGGAGATCGACATAGAGGTTGACGAAGATTACATGCCTCGCGAGGGAGAAGAGGCAGACAACGGGATGCAAGGGACGGGTAGTAGATGGGATGACCGCGGGGCAAGGGAGGACGGTGGTTTTGAGGGGCGGGAGTAGGAAGCCAGACGGCGGGATGGTGAGTAGAAAGGAGAGGTTTGAGGGACAGTAGTGGTCCCTGTATTTACGCCGCATTGTGGTCCCCATGAAAGGCCGGTCGCCCTGTGTAAGGCCGGTGAAATCGCGTGACGCTGGTGGAATGTTCAAGTCGTTTCATGCTCTTGATTTTGCGGGTACTCGGTGTAGAGGGCCGGCCATCCCCCTTGGCATGTATGCGGTCTTATACCATAGAGGGGCAAGGCCTTCTTGAGGGGGCACTGCTGTTGTATGCATACAGCCATATAGACAACTACTTTCTGTCGAAGCTAGGTGTTCACGCATGTTGTTGTATGAGGGCTAGAGAGAACAACACGGAGACAAGGAGCGAGGTGGACAAGTGGAAGGCTTCACGTGTTTGCCACCTGGAAGAGCTGCAAACGTTTTTCTAGTCTTTTTCTGACGAGAGCCGATATTCGGGGTGCTTGAGACCCTGGGACGAGGGGACGGGAGTGCCGCTGGAGCCGTACGCCTATCTATAGTTTTCGTTGCGCCGCCGCCGGTGTACTTTCTTGCTGCGCTAGAGAGAGGGATAAGAGGTTCCCACGTTTTTTTTATTGGCCAAATTTCTTCAAAGGAGCTTCTGATTGGTCGAAAATTCATGTTCGACATGTGACGTCATCCACGTATTCTAAAGCAAGGTTATGTAGGGATTCAGTTTCTGTTGCGCCTAGCACCATTCATTTCGGCTGTTTAGTTAAGGTTCTCGAGGGCACTGGCACGTGTATTCATACCATGCGTTGTGTCGTCATTTCATCGCGGGAATGTTTCTTTGAAGTGCCCCAAAGGCTGCCCGTGCTATTTTTCGCCCCATCGTGAGAGTGTGTGCCGGAAACGAGGTGTCAAGCCATTTTAGTTGAGGGAAAGCACCTGGAGTGTGATGTGAAAGTGGTGCCCTCGAAATACGAGCAACAACATGCGGTGAGTCATGACGGCTTCTTCACACCACGTACATACCCTGTGGTCTGTCTCGCCCC